AGAACAATTAATTTTGGACGTCCTTCACGACTTTCGTCGCCAAGAGACTGGCGACCACGATTAAATTAGTCATACCATCGTTTCACAGTGGCAAAGGGTGGGGCTTCATCACCAAAAGTCGAAGTAAGTTGATCGATGCATTCCTGCCTTGATAATCCACGTCGAAAGTCGTAATAGATCATGGAATAAAATTTTAACTAGTCAATTCCATTTTTTCACTGAGTCACAGTTTTCGAATCGCTATCAACAACATAAATCGTGCTGAAGTGACAAAACGTTCTGAAGAAGCTTATGTTTGAAAATGTCAAACTTGCAATTGGAACGGCAGATGGAGCCTAAGCACACTTGATGTTGCCGAGGCTGAAAATATAAATAGTGACCCTCGTATTATATTGATATAATGTTGTCACTTTGGTAGGCAATAGTAGTCAAAATAATCAAAAGTATGCACTAAAACTAAGCAATTTTGGCGACAAACAATGCAATGTAAACATATAGGCAATGATGATGATAAGTTCTTCAGTTACAGAGTGTCGAAAAATGGTTTTTATTTTAATCTTCGAAAATTACTCTATTACGTCAACAGTGGCGTCCCTGCAAATATGTCTCATGATATTCTATAAAAAAAAAATGATAACCTTTCATTGACTTTTGTACTTACCCTTCCCATTTCCTTCAACTTAGTCAACATAACAACAATGTAGAATTGTGCTCCCCACAGCATTCTCCCACAGATCATCTGTGGTATCAGCCATTGGTCCTTGTGTTGGCAATGTAAGCCTTTCTATACCGATAACCATCGATAAAACTGGCGTTTATGTAATCTGACCCTTCTACGCCTCGCATGGGCGTCAGGCACACCCTTGTGCTCTCGAAGGCAAGATATGTACCTGAAAACAGACGAATTTTGTATAGTTGTTCTTCATGTTATGTATCTTTTCACTAAATATTTTATACTCACCAATCTATTTTTGTGCTTGTTACATGGTAGGTTAGCTGTAGCGAACCTCGTTGAGTCAGTCTTAATCTTACTGAGCCTCTTGAACTCATGCTCCATGCCAGACGCATTTTCGCCCGGCTCAAGTTGCATCAACCTGTATATTAGAAATAATTATTCTATAAAATAGTTAAAAAATGTTTTTAGAGGATACAACCTATTACATGGACAGATTCATAGCACCTTCCCATAGACGCCCAGCCTGCCATTTTTGCCAATAAATGGTAAACCGGCTGTTTCAATTTCAACTCTGACCATTGGGACCTCGTAAACAGTCGGAAGTACGAGGTTACTTAGCTAACAAAATGCCGCTTAGAAAGTTTCGAAATTCACAGAACTTCAGTAGAGAGACGAAAAAACGAAAAAACCGAATTCTCCCAAAACCGTTTTCCGTCCTTATTTGTAGTGTGATATCAAAATAAACTGCATATTAATTGCACACTTTTTCTCCTTTACAAGATGGTATAATTAGAATTTCAATATGACGTTTCGTCCTTTGTCCTCCAGCATCATATTTATTTTTTCTCATGGACAGGATATTGGATTTTTGCATGGGTGAATATAGTAGGCTTTGCAATTCTCAGATAGTCTTGTATACCAAATTTATCGAAAAATCATCTATTTTTTCCTGACTTTCCTTGAGATAGGATTTCAAAGTAAATTACATGTTGTCATTGTCACTTCTTCTCCGTCTACAAAATGCTGTGGCCAAATTTCCATTCGAGGTTTCTTGTTTCGACTTCCATCACCAACTGTGTTTTTTCATATGGATGCTATAATGGAATTTCGTACATTCAAATGAAGTTTTTGTCATACATTGACCAATGTCAATGTATGAAAGATTATACATTTTGGAATCAGATTCTAAACTTTATTCACTGGTGTGAAAGTCCATCATGGCGTCTACAAGAAAACGGACAAGAGACGAAGCGTCATATTGAAATTCTAATTATGCCATCTTGTAAAAGAGAAGTGACAATGTTAGTGTGCAATTTAATTTTGAAATCCCACTACAAAGAAAGTCAGGAAAAGTTGAAACGATTTTGGGAAAATTCGTTTTTTTTTCAATACTCTCCGGAAGTACTTTGAATATTTCGAAACTTTCTAAACGACATTTTGTTATTTACCTAAATACGCAATTTTGTTCCCATTTAAGCGACATTGTATCTCTTACTGTTTCCGAGATCCCAATGGTGAGGAACGAATTTGAAACACCAAGTATTCCTGAACTCAGGTAGGAAAGTTCATGTTAACATGTGTCCTGAAAAGTCTGGTTTTCAAGACACAGAGTGTGAAAGATCAAAAGATTTTTGAGAGAGATGGAAATATTAGCAAACTGTCAAGGCAAGTCAAAAATATGTTCATAATGCGAGAACAACATTCCTTGTGGCAATGACCAAAAATGATTTGATCTTATTTTAATAATTTTTCGACATGTAATGAAGTATCTTTTCGTTGCAAATCAAGTAAGATTGAAAGGATACTATGAGTCATAAAGATGTATCATTAGCTGCTTAATCAGAAAAAATATAAATATATATATATCTATATAGGTGAAAAATTAAAGCTTCCGTCTCAAGTTATATCAATATATATATACAGGGTGGCCCATCCATGTGTGGACGAAATATTACTCATACCAAAAATACATTTTGGTAAATCTATTAATGGGATGTTATACAGGACATTTGAGGGCACATTCCTAAAATATTGGCCATTATACGGGTGTCCCAATATTGACCTACATAAGTTGTGATTTCAAATGGATGTGGCCTCAAATTTTAATGCATATTTGGATAAACCAATTCAAAAGAGGAAACATCTGATATACTATGGGGTTTTGGTAATTAGCTAGCTAATTGTCTAGAAAACCCCCCCACTTCGGCAACCCCTCAATCCGCCATTTTGAATTTTGTATAAAAAAAACTTACACACCTCAGCTTTTATCTTTTTTGTTACTTTTCCGAATTTTCATTTTTGCTTATACAGGGTGGTCATAAACGCGTTACCAATATGTTCCCCAGAAAATGTTCGCAAAGACTGCTACAATAGGTTAGGTTACTGTCAAACCCAAACAGAGGTCTGTTCAATATTTAATTTAATATTTTGTTTTCATTTTGATTAGAATTATTTATTGCAATAGTGTTTATTAATTTATTTTAAAATTATCTTTGATTTTCACTGATCTGGATAAAATCAACACATCCTGAGTTATGTTACATTTTGCGACAGCGCTGCGGTACAGATTATCACTGCCTGCGTGTACGCTGGTGAAAACCATTTCGAAGCAGGGCGACATTCCCCAACGAGAACTAGATGGGTACTGACCAACATCACTCAACTATGATCATGGAGATGGAAACCTTGCATTGGAATGTACAAGATGCGGTGTTAATAAACGAACCAATGATGCAATGTGCAGAATTTGTGACTATCCTGACCTTTCATTTCGAAATAAAATGGAGCGCCGTTTGGACCGATCGGGAATGAATCCTAAAAGATTCGACAAAATTCACAATTCAAAAATGTGTATGCTCAAAACAGAACCATCATTTGGATATAAAGAATAAACTAACGCATATTTTCAACATCATCTTAATTCAAGGAACTGGTGTCAGATATTGGCAACGCGGCAGATTACCGCGTCAGTTTTGTTAGGCAACGCGGTGATGAGCTTCGATATTCTGGCGGCTTCTATCTCTTTCTACATATGTGACTATACACTCTTCTCTCTCGTACACATTGATCTCAAGCCGTCAGACAAATTTGGTTCTCAGAGTATATTTTTCTTAAAGTCAGAGGCGTACATTTGTCAATATCATTCGTGAGACTAACCCCCGAGGTCCTACTGGAATTCATAATTATCGTTCAATTAGTGCTAACATTATGTCTTGTTGTAATGAACAATACTGCCAAAATTCAACATACTCGACACAAGGATCTTTAGGGTATAAATAAAAGAACATTTTTTTTTCACTTTGAAAACCAGGCTTTTTAAGACACAAGTTATATGAACTGTTCTACTTAAAATTTGGTTTAGAAACGCGCCCTTGTAATTACGGCCTATCATTAAAAAACATCCTGTAAATTATTGTGTCTTGGTGCGAAAATGGCATCAAACTCAGTTAATTCCCAGCTTATTAGATACGATACGATGTTAGTAGAGAAAGATCTTAAATCTGCATCGAACTCACCTCTGTATATGCGCGTGCAGGTTCCTTGCCGGCACTTCAGTTTGTCCACACACGTACGCCTCTAACAATGAATCATGTATGAAGATGTACTGATCTTCCGTCTGCACCATATAGTTGCGTTGCGCGCGCAGGCATGTCACGTGGCCGTAAATGTCCACCGTCTTTTCGTGACGCATGCGCTCCAACATCGAGTCGATCACGATGAAACAACCTAGACACACAATAAGGATTATACAAATTTTTTTTTAGGGTACTGTAATGAGCTTGTTGTTCACGCAATATAATAAAAAATACGAAGTCGCTTGAATGGGAGCGTATTTAGGTATCTGACAAAATGCTGCTTAGAAAGTTTCGAGACTCAAAGTACAGAGACAGATAAAAACCGAATTTTCTCAAAATGGTTTTAATTTTTTTCCTGGTTTTATTTGTAGTGGGATTTCTAAATAAATTGCCACATTAACAATGACATTTCTTAAGGACGTTATACTGGGTTTTTGCCCAGCTGGATAGTTTTTAATCATGCTTTACAAAAGTCATACATTGACATAGCCAAACCTTACTTATTCTAGAAAACGGAAGTTCCTAGGTAGACATTGAAATTATGAAATAATAATTTGTTTCAGATACCAGACCAGGGTTTTGAAGACTAAGATGAAGAGAAATAAGTCTAGCAATGTACAAAGAAGAGTCAGGCTTTGCCTTCAAAATACCGCACATTTAGAGCATCTGCTATGATTTATTTCTGTTTATTTATGATTATTATTGTTATTGACCATCAATAAAATTTTCATTCTGTGTTTAGGTTTCACCATACCTTTTTATTTATTTATAATTTACATCCAACAATAAATTCATGGCCAGCTAAGGAAATACATCACTGAATTTAGAACTGAAAAGACCATTTAAATAAAAAACATAGGGTCAATATAAAAAACAAAGTTGGCGAGGGAAGTCGAAAGAAGAAATGTCGAAGTGAAAATTTACATGTAATTTATTTTGAAATCCAATCTCAAATGAAGTCAGGAAAAAATATAAATGATGCTAGGATTATTCTGGAATGTGAAACAAATGACCATCTGATAATTTCAAGGCCTACCTAGAAAGTTCTGCTTTTTACAAAATAACTAAGTTTGGCAATTAAAAACTCTATCATCTGTGCAAAAATCCAATATGGCGTCCATAATAAAAATAAAGTTGATGCTGGTGGACAGGAGACAAAGCGTTCTATTGAAATTATAGTTATGTCATCTTGTAGAGGAGTAAAGGTGGCAATGTTAATCATAAAAGTATTTTAAAATCTCACTACAAATAAAGTCAGGAGAAAATTAAACCGATTTTGTGAAAAATTTCATCTTTCTCCGGAAGTACTTTGAATACCGAAAGTTTCTAGGCAGCATTTTGTTAGTTACCTAAATACGCAACCTCAGCCACATGAGATTTAGTATATCTTACAGTTTCCGAGATCCCAACAGTAAGAATCGAGTTTGAAGCACTCGGTATCAGCTCAAAAAATGTCAAAGGAATCTCTAGTCCGAAATGTACTTTGATCTGTTGACGAAGCGATGATGCCCCACAAAAATGTGAACGTTCTGTATGGGGAAGTCCCTGCGTACATATAATCCGTTTTTAAATATAGTTTTCATTTAATAAAACTGCTTTATGTTTCGTGTTCGAAACGCTTGCCTTAGTTCGTCCTAAAATGGATTTTTCCCTTACAAAATCCCATATTTTGATTTTTCCTAGGAGAAAAATTTACTTTAGGCGAAAGCTCATATACAAGGTAAATTGCGCGCATAGATTTAGTATATGACGGCTATTAGTCTCTTTAACCCTCTGGATACCCTAGTCGCCTCATTTTTACCTTCAACTCATCCCCACGTCGTTTCACGAATTTGAATTTAACACCTCAAATTACCCAAATGTACTAAGATTCATTTGATTGCAACAACGGGAGACATAAAAAGATGCAAGTAGGTGAAAATCTGACGATTAGTCACCTTGGTTTGTCAACCTAATGTGCATCCCCTTCCTATACCATGAAGGTGACGTTAGGAATAATTTTTTTTGTACTTTTCGGATTATCTACAATATTTAGTCGACTTTTATGCCTGGCTCAAAGAGAACGATGTCGATATTCGAAAATGGCACGCAACATCGAGCAGCAAATATCCAATGCCATTGAAGAATTTTAGAGCCAAGGATGCATGTGCATAAAATATTAAAAGAACAAAACAAATTAACGTGTTTAACGTGAATATATTAAGATTATAATAATTGAATTACCATGTCAATAATAATTTGCTGGAATAAATATGTGCTTTAAATTCCTATATCCTAACGCTTATCCTCATTTCTATTCTTGAGAATTGCTGCTCATGACCAATAAAGAAATCAGGACAAATTGAAAACTATTTACCAACACGTACGTAAGCATGGAAGGGGTTAAAAATTGTAAGAAAGCTGCTTACTACATAATACTTGAACAGCTTCTTATGATCGAGAAATCAAGGAGTTGGAACACTTAGCAAATACAGAATAAAATGCACATGTTTGCTTTGTGTCTCTGTTTTCAGCGCTGTTTTGTGCTCATTCGTAACTGATAGTGCGGTATAGGTCTAGTCGTGTAGACAAACGAATAGGAAGCAAACACAGTGGCTACCAAAGATCACACCCACTGCGTTTGCAAAACTAAACCTGCACTACACTGACGAGTTGATAACGAGCACGAAACAGCGCTGTCTGCGGTTGGTCACGATTACAGAGACGGAAAGCAAATATGCCTATATTATATTTTACCTTACAAAGTTTCTCATAAAACAGGAGAATGGTCAATAAGCCTCATTTTTTTTCAGCCAAAACACTTTTTTAAGTTTCTCCAAAGCTGTTAAAGTACAAATACGACTTATAATAGTACAAAGTCAAAAATAAAAAAAAATGCAAACCTGTCCTTCCAACACCGGCCGAACAATGCACGATAATCGGCCCTGCCTCAGGCGGATTCAAACTCCTGACCCTCCTCAGAAATTGTAAGAAAGGTGCCGGATGATCAGGCACTCCGTGATCGGGCCACGCCGTGAACTGCAACTGTTTAACTTCCCTCCTTTCACTGTGGCCTTCCTTATGGATCTGGAAGGTCCTGATACAGTATGTAGCCAACTCCTGGACATCAGTGATGGTCACGCTCATCGCGCCGTAGGTTTCCGAACCACGTGTTGGCCAGTATTGATCACATTTGATGCGGGTGCGTTCTTCCAGTTTGGTCATCATTACAATCGTGGAGGATTTTAACTCCCAGCACATGCGCCAAAAGTCCGCAAAGGTTTCCTAAAAACGAGAAAATGACTAAGTAGACTGAGGTATAACGAAAATATTTCTGGAACTAAGATGGTAAATAAAAAGTCAGTAATTCTCTTATTTTTTTTTTTCATCTCAGTACATTAATTTTTCGCCAAGATCGACAGGTTTTTAAACGTGACGCGGCCAACGCGAAATAGAAAAACCGTCAAACTAGACCAATACATCTATTCACCGCTCTGGCAAAATCAGAAAGAGTAAGAGAACTTTAGTTGTAAAATGCAATTCTTGTAATAAGTGCTGCCAAAACAAAATAGTATTTTTATATTTAAACGGTAATATTTTAAACCACCAACACGACAAATTTCACCTTTCATTAATTTTTTTCGACTCAAAAAGTCATACGAAGAAGCTACAACATCCAACTGGCGATATACTGGGTTAGAAAAATAAAAGTGATACTACCACCTATTAATATATAGTTTCACCTATTGGCGATTTTCAGTACCGATGTTGGCGCTGATGCTTGTCAACAAACATGGCCAAATGGGAGTAAAATTTCCATCGTTCTGTATCAAATCGAGTACCGGCATACAGTGATTCACACCAAATTGTTGAAGTATTACGAATCTATTTTAAACTTTCCATATCTCTGTTGTAGTCGAAACAGCAACAATTATTAAGTAATAATAAAAATAATCTGAAATTATATAAGTACTTTTCTAAACTAAATAACTTGGAACAAAACCACGGTTAAAACCAACGCATCCAATGGGTTTTAGTAACTGACGTCATCAACTCGTGTGTCATCTTAAACCACGTTATAACCGCGGCAAATAACACAGACATTTTGGTTATTCGATTTGATTTGATTACCGTGAATAAACGTTACTCTCTTTTTAAGGTACAGGTTGTGGCCGCCAGGATGCGCATAGATTCAGGAATTCGCCAATCGCGTTACTATCGACCCCTAGGTGCAACAGTAGGAAACAACAGTTACCCAGCATCTAAGCGAGAGTGTCCGAGAAATAACGATTTTTCCCAAAATCGTTATTATTTTTACCTGTCTTCATTGGACATATGATTTCAGAATAAAGTACACCAACATAATCACTTTTCCCCCCCTACAATGCAGAATATTAAATTTCCACTCTGGCAAATGCAAGAGAAAAATCTATGTGTGCAATATGTTTAACGTGTAAAAAATAATTTATAACACAATAATAAATCCACATTTCAATTAGTATTGCACTTCATCACTAATTTCCTGTTCAGTAGATGATAATCAGAGGCTCAATCGTTAAATAGGTGTATCGAAATATGTACTATTAAATTGCAGTAAGCCCACGCCAATCGAAGTCATGCGACAAAATTTATTTTTTTAATAGAGCAGGAAGTCATCGAAAAGATTAGATTATATAAAATTATAAACTATAAAGCTCCAACTTATTTCTTAAAATTTAAACTTATCAAAAGACAATTATTATATTGAACGGTTCAAAACTATTACTTCGGAAAAACACTTTGTGTTCAATGTTTAAGAACTTATAATGGTTTACCACTAGAAATACCAAAATATAACAAAATTTAAGAGGAAATTAAATACTTTATACTTTAGTTCCAAGTGATCTGTGATTTTTATGTTCCTGTTCATGTAATATTGTAGCTTACAACTAAATAAACACCGTTTTTATGGAAGAAATTAGACATGCCCTGTCCAGCCCCTTGCAACTCCTCAGATCCAATCCTTTAAAAAGCAGTCAAAAGATTTTCAAGAATAATAAACAGTTTCTAAAACGTCAAAAAGCGTTCTTTTTGGCCGTATCTCTGCTGTCACGTTCCGTGATGTACATTTCATTAAATATCCCAAAATATTGTTTGATTTTGAAAAGAATTACAAAACTTTCTTGGCAACTGGCATAGGAAGTAAAACAAAAAATAACAAAAATGCCACTTGAGCTAGTTCTACATGATTTTCAAACAAAAAGCACCTTAGTTCTAAAACTTGACACTTGTTTACAAAAAAGGGATCTCACCTGCAAAGGTCCCTGGGTAGCCACATACGCATTATGTTTCCTATATCCATCACAATAATTCGCATTTATATAATCCGTGCCTAGCACCCCATTCTCGCTAGGCAGTATCACTCGACTATGATCGTACGCTATAACATTCGCATATCTGTTCTTTGGTTTGTTCACATCCATATTTGAATGGTCCCAAGTGAACGTTTGGCCGGGTTCGATGCTCTCGTATTCTTGAGAAAATTTGAGATTGTCGTTCGCTTTCAGCTGTTCGATGTGAGCTGCTAGTTCGGAGATCGGGATAGGTGGATGCGAGATCATCGCGGGAGTTTGAAAGTTCAACCTAAAAATTGAAAATTATAGCAGATTTGATTATGAGTATGGTATTACTATACCTCATTGAAACAGCAAAAAGTTCAAGTGTGGTCTGATACAGGGTGTTAATTCAGTATGTACCATAAATTCAACAGACGATTCTTTGAGTAATTTTAAGACAAAAAGTTTATATTAACATAGGTCCGCAAATTCTTTGTTAAAATTAAAAAAAAAATGTTTTTTCGTAAAGTTCTTAAATCCTTCACCTAATTTTGTTGTACTTTAGCCGCGGTGTTTATAACATTAAGGAGCTAATTTTGCTCTAATTTGATTAAATTTATTAAGCCCAGTGGCGTCTCGAGCGGGATCTGAACAAATATTTGTGGCAAAAATGTACGCCGCTGACTTTTGTGCGATTTTTATTATGTTCTTTGGATTAAGCAAATAGAAATACAACTTTTTTGTTTCTTGAATTTTGTTCGTATCCTGCTCAGTTTTCGAGAAAAAAGATATCAACTTAATTGCATATCCCTGGACCACACAAGGAATATGGGGAAAAGTTTATTTTGGAAATTATAATTTTTTTATAATTTTTTATTTCTAATTATGTAACAACAACTACAAATACTAAATAATAATAACATCTAGACTAACAAATTTCGATAAATCCAGTGGTGGAAATGGCCCAATACAACCGTCTAGCCGCATCATCATTGAATTACGCAATCTCCTGAAAATACCTGGCGTATTTTTTTATTATGTCACATGAATTAATGTTTCTATTCCATAAAATAATCCAACGGGAGTTTTGTATACAACGCCTTAAGGTGTCTCTAGAGAAAATAATGTAGGTGTGGGCCTAGGTGGAAGAAAATGAGGTCCAATGAAATGGTCACCGACAATTCCAACCCATATATTAATATAAGAAAAATGTTCTTAAAAAGTATTGTTCTATTCAGGCATGTGGATTGTTTTCGGCCCAAATGTGCATGTTGTGGAAGTTAATAGTTGAATTGCAAGAACAACAAGCTTCATCTGTAAACAATATTCAAATTAGAAAACCTGGATTTCTTATCATTTTACTGCGAAGCCAGTCAGAAAAGCTAGTCTTCAAAGCAAATTTCTGAGCAATTGAGCTTGCAAACGTTGTATATGATATGGATATAGCTGCTGCTTATTTTTACCTGTCTTCATTGGACATATGATTTCAAAATAAAGTACATCAACATAATCACTTTTTCTCCCCTACAATGCAGAGTAATTAAACTTCAACACTGGCAAATGCTAGAAAAAAATTATTGGTCATCATTATTAATTTCCTGTCAGTGAGGATACTATTAAATTGCAGTAAGCACAATCCAATCGAAGTCATGCGACAATTTTTTTATAGTGCAGGAAATCATCGAAAAGATTAAATTATATAAAATTATAAACTATAAAGCGCCAAATTATTTCCTCAAATTTAAACTTATGTGGTATGCTACCATATGCCATAAGATAAAAAAACAATTATTATATTGAACGGTTCAAAACTAGCACTTTGGAAAAAACACTTGATTAAAAGAAAACTGTCCTTAAAAAGTATGTTCTGTTGAAGGATGTGGATTGTTTTCGGCCCAAATGTGACTATTGTGGAAGTTATTAATTGAATTGCGAGAAAAAAAGCTTCATCTGTAAACAATATTCGACTTAGAAAACCTGGATTTCTTATCATTTTACTGCGAAACCAGTCAGAAAAGCTAGTCTTGAAGGCAAATGTCTGAGCAATAGAGCTTGCACACGTTGTGTATGATATGGATATAGCTGCTGGCCTCTTAAAATCTGCCACACTGTGACATGGGTAATATTCAGTTGTTCAGTTATTTTCCGAGTACTGGTATGAGGATTTGCTTCAATTTCTTTTAAAACGGCTTCTTCAATTTGAACTGTTCTTACCGTTGCAGGCTTCTCGATGACAACCGTCGACCTTTTATAAAGCTGCCTGTTTCAGAAAGTCGTGCATGGAGACGTAGGAGTATAAATGTTCTTTTACTAGGCACTACACGCTGAAGAAGTCTTTCATGGTAAATGCGTCTTGCAGCAATAGAGTTTCCTTGAGCCATTCCATAACAGAAATGCTATTTCACTATTAGTGAATTGAACCATATTGGACGAAAAATAAGCACTAAAAACACTTTTTATAAAAATTATAAATCAATAGTTTATAAATTCTAAGTTGGCGACTGTCAAGTTGTTTACTAAATGCTGCAATCGTTTCCCAAGGCATTCCCTTTATTATTTACTATTCATTAGTTTAGATGTTAATGTAAATTAATTTAGTGTTTATTTGTTGCTATTACATAATTAGTAATATAAAATTATAAAAAAATAATTTCCAAAAGAAAATCTGGTCCACGGATATGCAGTTAAGTGGACTTCTTTTTCACGAAAACTAAGCAAGATACGGAAAAATGCAAGAGAAAAAAAATTGTATTTCTGTTCGCTTAACCCAATGAACATAAAAAAATTGCACTAAAGTCAGACACCACTGGGCTTAATAAATTTAATCAACTTAGAGCTAAATTAGCTCCTTAATGTTATAAACACCTCGGCCAAATTACAACATAATTAGGTATATTCAGTATATTTACGAAAAGCCTTTTTTTTATTTTAACACCCTGTATCTGGGCCTACCTTATTATATTATATGAATTTTTTGTCTTAAAATTCCTCAAAAAATCGTGTTTAATTTATGGTACATAATTAACACCCTGTACATAAACGACTGCCATAGTTGTTACATTTTATATTGATATACGTGTATGATTGACTTTTTGTCGGACCTTGCTTTTTTTAACTGGGGGATTAGAATTACGATAGAAAATAAGATTCATCAAACAGCGGTAATAATCCTAAGATTGAGGCCATACCAGAGATGGCAGCCTTAGCTGCAAGAGGTAAGCTAGATGAGGAATTCACTTAGTAACATAAACGAAAAATAGGAAGTCCAAAGAGACATTGCTGAAACCACCACGATAAGCATTCTTGACTTCCAACATGGAAAAAATGGACAAACAAAAGATACTTGGTAAACATTTCCAAGTGGAATATTTTCAAGTACTACTATACATGTTGCTTTATTTTTATACTATTTTGGATTATCTGGCTTTTTGGTAGGATGCCTGCCCTGATCACCGAAACGAAAAGGAAGATTTCATTCAGCAAATCAATTGTTTCACTGGCTGTTTGGCATGTGTAGCATCGTCTTGGTGAAACCACAGGTCATGCACAAACATTATACAACTTACTCAGAAAGAAACTCGTAGACACTCTTGAATTGGAGATGGAAACCCAATACTGCATCAACAAAATTCAAACACCTTTACGCAAAATGAATATTTATGGAAAATGGAAAAATTGACAACAGAGCATGTAGCCAGTAGAGCCAAAGATTAATTTCACTTATTTCATTTTCAACTTGAATGAGCCTTTTCTCATACTTATGTACAAAATAAAAAAAAACTAACCTTCTAATCTCAACCGGATCGCTAGGAGCAATACTGCTATTGAGATCCGCTTGAATCAAAGGACGGGTAACAGCTGTCTGATCAGGCGTCTTACATGGTTGTCTTCGCTTACGCAGTATGAACAATATCACTAAAATTATCGATAACAGAAGCGCTGCTATTATGGGTCCAATTATCCAAAAGACGCCTGCGTCTTTCTTCTGGGAGCTCACCTAAAAATTTGAGAATGAAATTAGATTACAAAAATTTATTGGTACGAGTTTCCCACATTCAGTCTTACACTCGCTTTTTATGAGTAGTTAACTGTTATATACGAGGCGTGTTCATGAAATATGTATTTATTCATCTACATTTATGTTGTCGCCTTCAAAATAGATATCATGCCAATCCTCGAAACACTTTTCAAACTCGATCTTTGAGATAGTGTCCAACTCTTTCAGCGATACGCTTTTGATGTCACCTAGGCCTGTAAAGCGACGCCACTTTAAGATTATCTTTATTTTTTGAAGTAGGAAAAGTCACACTGAGCTATATATAACGAATATGGATGCTGGGACATCGTTAAAGTATTGTTTTTGACCAAAAAATTCACGAACAAGCAATGAAGTGTGAGCAGTTACATTATCGTGGCGCAAAAGCCAGGAATTGTCCACATTTTTACGGATTGCTCTCACGCAAACGACGTTGAACTTGTAGGCAGTACTCTGTATTAGCCGTTTGATCTCATGGCAAGAATTCATGATGCACTGTGCGATTAGAATCACAGCCAAAATGCCTCCACTGGGACGATTGAGGCTTAGTTCCGACGTCTTACACGTAAAGGCATGATTCAGAATTTCTGTATCGTCGTTGACTTCATTTGGTGACTCCTGAGCAACTTCCATTCGCCGCTGTTATTGTTCAAAATTACCCAAATCACTCGACAAAATTATTTCATGGAGTGTACCAATCGATTTGCCATCAGCGACTTATCTGATGGTGATTCGGCGATAGTCTATTTCTTTCACTATTTTCACGTTTTCATCGGTTATTGAGCTGGGGCGTCCGGGGCGTTTTGTTATCTTCAACGTCTTCATATTGGAAACGCTTATACCACGAGTAAATTCTTGTTTTACCCATAACAGACCCACCACAGTCCTTTGTTAACATTTCACACACCTTTTTACAATTTTTTTACGCAAAATTTGATACACATTCTTTGATTCATTTTTTGTAACAAACCAAAATCGCCGAGCCCATGAAATGACGTCTAACCACAGACAAAGTAAACAATGAATACGCCTGAAAATTTTACCATACTTCAGGGACATTTATACCAACAAAATAAAAAAATGTTTTGACAATCGGACTCTCCAAACCCGCGAAGCTAAAAAAATCCATTTATTTTCTGAACACTCCTCGTACAACAAATATAGAATATATAATTCAGATGCATCTATGACAACAAAGACATTTTTACTGAGTGTTCTATTTTCTTTGTTACTGAGTCTATGTATCACAATTACAAAATCGAACTTAGGGCATGACAGATGAGGTTATGACACGGGACTGAGTATCTAAACTTGTAGGAAGCAATGTCTTTTGATATAAGAATGATTGTTTGCAGACAAAAATACCTCAATAAAGCATGTGCCTTGCTTTCCTCTGAATACAAAAAAGAATAGTTTTATATTGTTTTCATGCTGATTATTAATAATATTTTAGCATAACAAAAGGTTGGAGGGATGTTTAAAAATTCTTGAAAAATAAATGGAAAATGGCATGACCACTAAATGCATTAAAATGTTAATATCTAAGTATAGGAAAATCAAACATGATAACCCACACGACAGTGGTGGATAAATCTGATAGATACTTCAGTTGAGAAGCCCATTGTAGATTTTGTATATTATATATCCTCATAGATTTAATAAGTCCTTTATTTACGAAAACCAGAGGTCTACCAATTATTGTTCGACAGATCTACCGATTTTAGTACTATTCTACCCAACGAATTCAGACTAGGTCGAAGGAGCCAGTCAAGGATCTGACTTGTCTTCTAATTTTCTATTAGGGGATCAAAGTGCACTTGCCGTAAGTAAATTTTTTTACATTTCTGTCATTCAATTCGTATATTTAGTCCTATTTTAGTGCGAGTGTTTCAGACAATTGTGAAGTTAGACAATTTCAAGACATCGCATTCCTTACATAATATGTAAAGAGCGGCGCAAGCCTAATGAAGGTAGATCTTGCCGCTGGTAAGGATTATGATTATGTTCATGGAACGCTGCCACTTTGGTGCAATAAGACTAAGCAATTTTGGCGATAAACAGCGCAATGTAAACATATAAGCTTAACTCCTGATCTATTCGAATGCATTGAATCCACCGAACTAACGGGTTGAATGCGAAATCTGCCGAAAATATTCTAAAATTTTTTAATAGTATACTTCTTCCAAAAGTACCTCATATCAATTTCAAACAAAAGTGCATTTTTTCAAAATTTATATTACCATGTCATGTTCTATTTGGCCTCTAGGGGCCTGCTGTAACCATTAGCACACCTTTATGAGACCATCATAAAGTTTTTTATTTACCTTGCTAACATCGACAGATGGCGTATTAGGATCCGGCCTGGATGGTGGTTCTCCAGGTGGTACTTCTCGCATATCCAGCGACAGGAACTCAGAAAATGGACTGCTGGTGTATAAATGTTTCTGAGGCGTATCTACTACAGCTCGAACGAAAATTCGGTACCTTTTGCCGTGTTGTAGTTTGTGGTTTATAAAACCGTCATTCACTTCTCCAGTACCTGGATGGAAAACTTTGTTAGAAGGGAGCTAGATCGATTTCTCTTTTCTAACAAAGGAGACAGCCAAAGGATCAATCGCTGCCAATATCCATATAATAACGGAAATATTTCCCCAAAATTCCTAGTAAGTCCCAATAATTTATCCAGTTTCAAGAAATCCTCTCTTCAAGCATCAACATTCCTTAATAACTGATCGTAATACTCGGAAAATTATCATAATTCCTATTAATTACACGTTCATTAATTCACAATACGGTTTACGGGACTGTACGGATGGTTTTGAGTTACAAAAAACTGACTGACACCTTCTTGACCTTTCGACTTTATTGCATGAGGCTGGGTAGATTTAGTTTATATTGACAATACATCAATTCTAAATATCACCCATTACCAACTGAGAGTTATTCTTTATTTTGATAGGTAATGTCATATTTTTCATTTATCTTGACACCTGATTTATAAAAGGATTAGCAGTAACTAGAAAACCAGTCATACAATCCTCCATACACATATTAAAGATCAGCTTGTAGAAGTGGGAATCAAGAAATGTGAAACTATATCATATAAACTGCCCAATAAACTGTTAGGAACACAATATGGGATCATGAAATATTTATGACAAAAAATTCAGAATTCTAGCTATAACAGTTGGGGATGCATGAGTTTTCAAAGTTTCGACAGTTTGTCCAATATCTCAACAATTTGAAGTCCCTATAGTAGGTTAAATAAAATAGCTTCGTTTGAAAGTCTATCCAAATCTACAATAAAATGTTTACCCTTCCATTTGAAATTGTGCATGTTTGAATCACTAAATAGTTATGAATCACTCTGAGATAAAAATATTTTCGAAGCAAGGAGCGCTCTGTTGGCTACCATTTCTGTAAATAACTTTCTTAGATAGCATACGTAATAACGGAATTACAGTAAAAACTCGCACTGTATGTACAGTGTGGCCAACTAAGTATATGAGGTACTGTATCTGGAAATCTATCCATCTGAGCGGCAAAAAAAGTCTCACTAAAACAGCCCAGAGAAAACCTGGAAAATATTTTCAAGTTTGTAAAATGACCGCTATGAGGCTTACTGCAATCTTGAATCTAAAAAAGTGATGTTTCTGTGAACAATGCTATATTAACCTAACAAAAAATACCTAGTCTTTAAAGTCGTGGATAATGTGAACTTTTTTTGTTTGAAAATTTCTTATGTATCTCTAAAAATAAAGTGGTGGGAGGTATTCAAAACTTTCCGTACAAAAATTCGATTTCAACAAACATGAGCTAGTTGAAAAGAGCTGTTCTTGGGCTACAAATGTTACAATACTTGAAGTTTTGTTAGTTTCATATGTGACCGCTAGAGGGCTTTTTTCGACATTCCAACAGAAATGCTTATTTTTCTCAAACAAAATTAAATGCATTGGTATGATTTTTTTTATGAAAAAGTATCTAAATAATGTCTAAGCAAGCTCGCGAAAACCGCATCTTAATATCTAGTTCTTAGCCTAAAATTTAGGCCAAAGAAAATTTTATACAGAAATCCCATAGATTTTTATTTTTTTAAACTAATTTTTCTGGAATTCTTTTTTATTCATCACAGTAAAATCACCCTTTTTGAAAATATCACAAAATATCGCTAAAAACTAAGTAATACTAATAACAAAAGGCATATTTTTTGTTTAAATGCATATTCACTATGGGTATATACGAAAAAGACAATTAATAGAAACAGGCCGTGGAATATAACAAAACAAATAGCTAATCAAAACATAAATAATCCTCAAATTGTCAACAGTTGTCAATAGTTCGCGTTACTTTGATCAATTTTTGTGCTTACCAAATGCGTTTTATGAACGATGAAGCTGTTGATATTCTTACAGTTTAGTTTTGAATGTCTTCAGAATGCCGCAAAAAAATTTACGCGACTCGATATCCAAATCGGCGTCCTTGCAATGTGATACTATTTTTTTTAGTGGCGAGCTTACGAGTCAATGGTAGTTTTCGGCCGAAGTTTCAACGGCAAAGAATTGGAAGAACACAAGAAAATATTAACCGCGTACCTCTTCATGTTAGCACAAGGGCATTATCCCTTAAGTTGGGCATATCACGACAACGCTTCAAAATATTTTGAAGCACCATACGTAAGTTCTAAAGGCCATCAAAATATAGGGATTTATTTAAATTTAACTTTTTTTAATTACTCTTAGCATGCACCCATATCGTGTCGTTTTGAATCAGGCCTTGAAAAAGGATGACTTTGATCGGAGATTGGACTATTGCCATTGGATGTTAGGCATGATACGCGAAAATAGAGAATTTTTATTTCAAATTTTTTTGACCGATAAGCCACCTTCAATAGTGACAGGAGAGTCAATCTGCACAATATGCATTATTGGTCTGCAGAAAATCTGCATTGGTTGCGTGAAGTTCAGCATCAGGGGCGTTGGAGTTTAAATGTGTGAGGCAGACTTATTGGGCCATATTTTTTCGAGCCCAATTACCGTTGTTGTTGGAAAGATGTACCACTGGAAACACGGCAAAGCTTTTTGCAGTTGGATGGTTACCCAGAATATTTTGATATCATTGTGCGAGAGCATATTAATGGAGTATTTCAACAGCGATGGATTGGAAGAGGAAGTATGTTTTCATGGCCTTCGCGATCACCAGACTTGTCTTGATTTTTATTTATAGGGACGGTTAAAGGACATCGTGTTTCAGACTATACCGACAACCAGAGTAGATAAGAAAAACCGGAGTCGTAATGCAATACAATATACTGAGAGCCGAAATTAAAGCTGCAGTTTTGTCTACCCACGAGAGGCTTCATGAGTGCATATAGTGTGATGGTCGGCATTTGGAGCATTTCCGGGGCATTAAAAACCTTTATTTTTTAAATCGGTCCTTTTTAGGGCTGCAACTTAATAATAAAAAGAAATTTCAGAAAAAAATAGTTTAAGAAAATAAAAATCTAAAGGATTTCCGAAAAAAAATTTCTTTTGCCTAAATTTAGGTTGGTAGTACGATATCGAGATGCGGTTTTCGCGAGCTTGTTTAGACATCATTTAGCTAATTTTCCGTGAAATTAAAATCATACTAATGCATTTAATTTTTTTGGGAAGGATAACCATTTCTGTCGAAATGTCGAAAAAAGCCCTCTAGCGGCCACATGTGAAACTAACAAAAACAAACAATTATTCTAACATTTATAGCCCAAAAATAGCTGTTTTCAACTAGCCCAAGTTTCTTAAAATCGGCTCAGCCATTTCGAAGATACAGGATGATGTTTTTTACGGAAACCGCCCACCACTTTATTTTTAAAGATACAGCAAACATTGTCAAACAAACGTTTTCAGATTATAATCGAATTTAAAGATCAGGTATTTTTTTGTTAGGTTATTATAGCGGAATTCACAGAAACAACACTTTTTTAGATTCAAGATTGCAGTTACGCCCCCTAGTGGCCACTTCAGAAACATGAAAATATTTTCCAGGTTTTTCTCTTGGTTGTTTTAGTAATAACTACGCAAACCTCTACGATAGATAGGTTCCCAGATACAGTACCTCGCATTCTTAGTTGGTCCCCCTGTACAAAGCTTTTACGTTAACTGAAATATCGACATTTGTTCAATGTTTTGAACATCCTTTTTCATCAAACATTTCAATGCAACCGGATTACCAAGACACCAAGAGTGTCAAGCTTTTTTTACAAAACATTAAGATAAAACTTTCCTTAGCTTGTCTTCTGAATTCGATTCGGAATAGCCCAGGAATATTAAGACTCTTTCTGCTTAAAAAACGTAGGAAAAGTCTAATTTTCCTGGACTATTTCAAATCGAAACAGTATTCAACATTTTGTTTATATGGGCGAAAGCACAGAACACCAGTTCTAATGAAATATTTCACTTACCTAAATGATAAGTATATGGAATATTCCTCTGAGGAAACTTGGCTGCAATGTAAGGCAAGTTGGAGTTATCCTTAACCTTATCTACGTTAGTGATCAGTTCGTCGGTTAAAAATTGATCGGGGTTCTTTTGGATTGTCTTTTTGTCTTCTGGCACTACCACTAGGAAGTAATGGCTAATTGGTCCGTATTCTTCAGATGCTTGCGGCAGAATCACGTGGATTTCTTCGCCGTTCACCACGCCGTAGAAGTCTGGTTTCACCTAGAATTTAATTTTGATATTTTCAGACGTGATTAGTAAAAAAAATACTAATGAGATGGTCACAAAATTGTAGTGTCATCGTAAACTAGAAGTTTGGGGTATCGATGAGACGCCCTCGCAACGTCAACGCTTATGCAACCAGAATCATGCGACCGTAAGTGGAGAACGTTCGCGTTCGGGGCACGCTTCAAGAGAAATCGACCACCATCTACCAGCATCGAAGAAGAATCCAGTTTCATCTAGAAACGCTGGAATGTATGGGAACTGTCGATATACTCCAGGTGGTTTACTGCTAAATAAGATTGTGAGAGACGGGAAAAATAAGCACTTGCTTTTGCAAGCAGTTTTTCCCACGTTTTATGTTATACTCGTATATTGAAAAATAATGATTTCAGAGCAAAATCGAAAAGGACTTCTTTACTGGTTTTAACTAGTGGTGGACTGAAGGAAGTTGACATAGTGAATCCACTGTGAAAAATATGGCTAAAAAACAGTTTGGTACTTTTTTATGGCACTCTTAATCGTAGAAATCTTACTGTACACTCATGGGACCTTAAATATTATATTATTTAACATATATTTTCGGCTTCTGGACATTTTGCAGTTTGCTGTTTCAAAACATATGACTCTAATTACCTGCCTTTTTTCATGATAACACAGGCCCACAAAATAAAAAAGTGGTGCGTGCCACTGTTTTTCCCATGTAGTTTTTTACGCTGAACACGAATCTGAAGTCAAAATTAGGACTGGAGGACAAATAAGAGAGTGATTCAGGCATTAAGATCACACATTTTGGAATTGTTGCGAATGTGCATATTTTCGGAGGTCTCTGAGAGATGCTCCTCCACCAAAAATAAAAAAAAATTAATTCTTATCTCTAAATTACTTTCATATTCATCAATCTTCCCCCAATTTTGACTGCAGATTCATGTTCAGTGCGAAAAAAGACATGGAAAACGCAGTGAGATACCCAGCACACATCTCTTATTTTATTTTTTCTGGAGCTTTGGATCGTTTTTATGCGTTTTCTCTAGCATTGTCAACTGGCCTCCAATTTGGACTTCAGATTTGTGTTCAGCGTGTAAACAAAAACTGATTTTTATTAATTCTATTTCGTTGGCTTTACAGAGTGGCCCAATCGTGCTTTATTGCTTCTAAAGTAAAACTTAATAATTCTTACCCTATATATAACTACTACTCAGATTTGAATGAAGGTTTGTCAGAAGTTTACTGTTATTCCAATGAGAAAAAAGCTGTGTGGGTTTTGAAAATTGGCCGATTTATTTGATCAACCTAATGCCTCCAAACTTTCTCAGATCACTACATAAAACGTCATTTCTGAAGAATGTATTTTGTAAAAATATTGATTTTTTTTATATTTGAACGTTTAAACTATATAGAGACATTTGAGTCAATCGAAAAAACATGCACGCGAGTTTTGCGAGAGTGAGAGAATTGTTTGACTTCTAAGCAACATACAAGATATTTTCCCTGCACTGTCTGCTAACTGACATTTTTTACAAACACTGACCATCTTTTACTTCCCTGACTTTTCCTAATTTCCTGAAAAGCAAAAAACTCTATAGATTCATGACTTACCATAGGCTGGGGAGCAGCCATCTGCGTCGTAACCGTCACCTTAGTAGGCGGCAAGTACGAATTATCAGCCGGCACAGCACTGACATTGACACTGTACGTCGTGAACGGTGACAACTCATTGATTGTGTACGACCTCACATCACTACTCAACGCAATCTCCAACTTGGGGATGATCTGCGTTTGGGTGATGCCCTGGGAATCGACGAACTCCTTGATGGCATCATAGGCGATTTTGTACTTCACAGGGTTCAGTCTGATTGGAGGAGACCACGAAAGTGTCATCGAGTGGGTGGTGACGTCATGGGCGCGAAGGTTTAGCGGAACGTCTTCGGGTTTCACTTTTACTGTCACCTGAAAACCAGAAAATTATCAAATATAGGACGTCAAACAGGTATGGAAAAATTCATACAACGTATAAAAATCTTCAACCCGTTTTACTTTGAATATATGCAAAATTTAGTAAAGGACATATCAAATAAAAATATTTAAATCAGGTCGTCCTCAGGCTGTCTAGTGCAAATCACTGGTCATAGTTTGGCGCGCATTATATTTTCAGTGTCATAGGTTATGTACATCCCGTGCAAGTTGCGTTTGTGATAATCTGCCTTACAGAGTTTATATTTAAAGAAAATGTAATATAGACATAAATACAGAATAAATAATATCAAAGTGAGAACTGTGCGTGATATACAGTGAAAATCAAATTTGTCTGACAGCTTGAGTTCAATATGTACGAGAGAGAAGTGTGTACACACTCATAGAGGGTGTTCATTTGCAAACTTCCCACCACGGATTTATCAAAAACCATTGTTTAAAAGATCGCCGAGACACGTCAAACAACTTGTTAAGGGGGGACATTTTTTTAATCAAAAACTACTTCACCCCCTTTCAGCCTCTAGACCCCCCCCCCAAGGTCATCCCCTTAAACATTTTAAATGACAAGGGATATCGAGCTTGTTTGAAAGGTCTTTCGAAGTCCTTTATTTTGACGTTTGATTTGAAAAACCTTTTTCTAAATTTGTTCAGATAGAAAACAAAAACACGAAAATATTACTTTTTATTTCAATAAGTATTCAAAATGATGCCCGTTATTGATCAAACAATGATATAGGCGATGTTCAAAGTCCTGACGGACATTTTCAAGAACTTGTAGGACATCATAGCAGAGTTGACGAAGTTCATCCAAACTTTCAGGTTAGGTAGTAAACACAATGGGTTTCAAGTGGCCCCATAAAAAAGAGTCTACTGGCGTTAAATCAGGAGATCTAGCAGGCCATTCTATAGGCCCTCTCCTCCCTATCCATTAATGTGGAAACTCGTCGTGTAGTCATTGCCGAACCGAAAGGACATAGTGAGGAGGAGCACCGTCTTGCTGGAAATATATTTCAACCTCATCAAGTATAGGGTTTCTATCCTCTTCGATTTTGTTTTCAATGGTTTCAGTGATAAGAGGGTTGATGGTATTTTCCAACATATCCAAATAAATGTATCCATTTAAATTTCCATTAATAAACAATGCCCCAATCACGTTGTTTCCTAAAATGCCTGCCCATACATTGATTTTTTGGGGGTACTGGCACCCTTCTACAAAAGGAGGATTGTCATTGCTCCAATACCTGCAGTTATGCTTATTAACAAATCCATTTAGATAAAATGTGCATTCATCACTGAAGATATTCTTTACATGAATGGTATATCATTAACTGCTGCAGTCATTTGTTCACAAAACTCAGCTCGCCTATCGAAATCATCTTCGGTTAACTCTTACAATATTTCCATTTTGAATGGATGAAATTTATGGAGTTTAGTAACAGTGTATACAGAGCCTAATGAAATACGAGTCGCAGCAACAATTTTGCGTAATGAAGTATTACTACTTATTCCAAAATGACCCAAAACTTCAACTCGAGCGGGTTCATCCAAAGCTCTCCGACGATCACGTTTATTATTTGCAAAAAATCCAGTTTGAGTAAATTTAGTAACAAGGTACAAAACATACCTATGCTAAGTTATCTTCCTCAGATGTCTGGCGTTAAATGTGACGGCCGTTTGCCGAGCACATTGATTTTGGGCACCATAAATTAGAATCATTTCCACTCTTTCGACTAGTGTGTAAACCATTTTGGCAGAGAAATCTGAATCAATAAATTAGTTTTCACTACCCCAAGATTGTGACAAAGTTAACTGACCGCAAATTAAAATCTTTCTTTCCCTTAGCAATAAATAACTAAACAGGTATAACAACAAATACAGTTCGCCCAGGATCTGTGTTGATGGAAAATTCGGGTTGTTATTTGGTTGTTCCCACGTCTAATATTTCGAATTGCTGTTTATGTTGGTAGTTTCCGTTTCATATTATAAACGAATTGCAGATTTGGCAAACCATAACGGACAACATTTTTAACACTTATTGAAATAAAAAGTGTTATTTTCGTGTGTTTTTGTTTTCTATCTGAACAAATTAAGATAAATAAAGATTTTTCTAAATTTCTCGATAACGAATCGACTGATTTTAAGAAAATCAAACGTCAAAATAAAGGATTTCGAAAAATTGTTAAGGGACTGACCCTGTGGGGCCAAGGGTAAAGGGAGCAAAGTAGTTTTTGGATAAAAAGTTGTAGCAGTTGACAAATCTTTTGACGTGTCTCGGCGTTTTTTCTTTTAATCAGTGGTTTTCGATAAATCCGTGGTGGGATGTTTTCAAATGAACACCCTGTATGTTAGAAAGAGATAGAAGCCGACGCGGTAATCTGCCGCGTTGCCAATATGTTAAACGAGTTACTTGAATTCAGATGCATAATGAAAATACGCGTTAGTTTATTCTCTACATCCAAATATGTAATGGTTTTAATTTGAGACAACACATTTTTGCATTTCGAATTGTGTTGAACCTGTTTAGGATCGATTCCGAATCGGTATTACCGGCGTTTCATTTTAGGTCGAAATCAATGGTGAGGATCGTCACAAATTCTGCAACATTGCACCTGTGGTTCGCTTGCCAACAACGCATCTCGTACATTCCAAGGCAAGATTTCTACCTACATGGTCATAGATGAGCGATTTTGGTCAGCACCCAATGCCTCATTGGGGAGTGTCGGCCTGCTTTGAAATGGTTTTAACCTGCGTACACGCAGTGATAATATGTATTGCGACTGCTCGCTGATGTGTTGATTTTATCACCATCAGTGGAAATCAAAAGATAATTCTAAACTGAATTAAAACACAAGGTGCATCAAAATTCAAATAAATAATTCTAATCAAAATGGAAATAAAATATTAAATTAAATGTTCAAACAGAACTGCTTCTTGGATTTGACAGGAACCTAACCTATTGTACAAGCCCGTGCGAACATTTTCTGGTATAACATATTGACAACGGGGCAGAGTCCAAGATCTTCTGCGTCACCGTTGTTGGGCAATGTAATGATAACCTTCGCTCTATCAACCGACTTCTATCACTTTCTAACTTGTGCTGATACACACTTCTCTCCCGTATACATTGAACTCGAGCCGTCAGACAAATTTGGTTTTCCAACATCATGTCTTCTAGATCTAAAAGAATGGTAGATCTATCTAAGGGCCAATCGGAGAACCTCAACTGTCGTTTAATAAGAGGCAGGTGTATTATACAATTTTTAATTAGACCAAATTCTGTGCTGAAGTTACGTCAAATTTACGCTACATAAAATTTTCAAAAATATGTGGAACGTACTCATGTGACAGTGGGGGAGGATTCTCTTATTTCTTAGGTATGTGATATGCAGGTGCATATTGTACTATAAAAAGAAGGATTTTTCAGAAGTTGATTTCAACAGAGCATCGCGACATAAAGTGGGCTACGCTGTGTACCTAGGATGCATAGGGCCTGGCATAAGCCAATATCTGTAGAAGAAGAAGAACAATCTACAGAAACTATTTGTTTGGGTTCATGAACGGTTACATCAGCTTTATAAAATTTTAAATCACGCAAATACAATAGAATGTGATCAGTTTAACCTTGCCTATGACGATTATTTCCAATATTAACTACATGGAATGAGCTGACTTAATTTCAATTATATGTTTTTTATCTCACTTAGTTTAAGTTGTACGTTTTCTTTAAAGAGAAACTCTTTGTTAAGTTATTTATTTTCATTTATATTTTATATTGCTATATTGAATAGACGTTTTTTGGATTAACGTGATGTTTAATTACCATCCAGGAAAGCGTGAATATATATATATATATATATATTATATATATATATATACATTATATATATATATAATATATATATATAATGTATATATATATATATATACATTATATATATATATATATAATATATATATATAATGTATATATATATATGTAGATTCTGATGGATCGGTCCTCCACTCATGGGCTTTTTAGAGTCGATAGGTCCTCCGCTCTGATAGGTCCTCCGTATAAGGAGGACCTATCGCAAATTCCACCTATCGGCCCCTCAGGCCCCCCTCTGTCACCTGGCAAAATTTCAGAGGGATGACCTAGATCATGTTTTTCGCCGAATTTGGGTACCGTAGTTCAGGGTTTTGCCGCGCCGATTTGGTGGACTCACGATCGCTTGGGTATTCAGCCCGTATATTATCAAATATTACCAGTCAGGTCTACAGTGGATCGGTCATCTGCCGGGTATTCAGTATCCAGATTATCGCTTTTAGATCCTCCTTAATATTGGCATCGCTGTATTAGGTATTTTATTATATTTGCTGTGTTAGAGGATCGGCTTTTCACCTTTCTATGTCTGGTGCGGCCCAGTTCGCCGTCAGGCATTATAATAGGGGCGTCCGTGACCGAGAGTACCGTAATGCAGCAATAATATATTTGTTCGATTACTATCATTATTAATATAATTATGATTACGATTATGGTTGTGATTATGATTATGATTACGATTATTATTACTAGTTTTCGGAAAAAAATGTTTTTCCAATCAGGTTTTAGACTCATAACAAGTCGATTTGACATAAGTCACCTCTATGCAAAAGTGCTTCGTTTATTTGCCAACTAGATTTTTACGCTTGATGTGTTAAAACATTTTTTTAGAAACCAGCCCCAAAAAAGGTTTTTTTTTCTCGAAAACTATGAAAGATATCTCGTTTTAATGAGAGACAAAGGATGGAATAAATAAAAAAATCGGTCATGAGGAAAGTTGGGAAAAATTCTGCTACAATTTATGTAGGTGTGGGGGTAGTTTTCACCCTTCCAAAAAGCTCTGGAGTTTTTCGTAAAAGGCAAATATTAGAACGCTGAGCAGAGCATATGTGTTCCAAATTTCATTAAAATCGACCTACCGGCTTTTGAAATATCTTGGAAAACGTGTTTTTAAAA